GGGGGGGACTATAATGTGCTAGTGGCATTCCCAAACGTTATTCCTTCCCAGAGAGGATACACGCTGTTCAAAAATTTAAACCCATTCCGTCGTAAGGGTACGGGCGGAGACTCATAAGCACTGTGCCCCTCTCGTCAGTGAACTCTTCTCATAAGGGGGCATACTAGGCGCAATGGTTACAGGTCTCCGCCCATCCGATTACCTCAAAACGTGGTTTTCTGCGATTTAGCGGAGTAAATGCCACTGCACCTTTGGACGCTAATAACATTGCACGTATTGAGTTGATGTCCAACGTTAATATACTGTGAAATAGGTTCACAGGAAACTCTCCCTTGGGGCTTTATTCAGGTTCATGGTTAAGCAAAGGTTCTTATTCCCAGTAGGGTGATTCTGATCTTACACAGCGAATCCTTTCGAATTATTTCATGGCACCCTCCCCCCAGGGCTTCTGGCGCACAGTTCTGGATGAAAACCGCGTGCATGGCATAACCCCTCGAGCCCAACCAACCGTCTCCCCTGTTGAGATAGATAACTTGAGACAGAACTCAAGAAACTCTAAAAAATACCTGAGTAGTAAGTTGCTTGCGGAGGTTGGTAATGGAGAGGGGGAGCCTGCTGGTAGGCACTGTATGGTGACTGCATCTGTAAAATACATTTACAACACTTGCTAAGCAGTACTCAAGTGAACAAGGCCGTAAAAATCACCTGCATTCCAACTGGCGCTTGCGGATACTGGTGTGGGTTCATATAGGGGTTCTGAGCAGCATAAGGGTACTGCTGTGGGGCGCCATATGGCTGTGGCATAGGTTGCTGTGGAACTGAGCCTGGAAGATTTTGTTGGGTCATAAACGGTGCTTGGGAGCTAGATGGATAGGGAGCCATTGCAGCTTGAGGAGTAGAAGAATAAGGAGCCATTGGGTTTTGGGAGACTGTTGGGTAAGGAGGTGACTGATACGGCTGAATAGGTTGAGTAGTGAACTGCTGTGGTTGTGGGGGCTGTATAGAGGACTGAGAAGGGTAGGGTGTTTCAGGAGGAGATGTGACATAGTATGGGGTCGCACTCGACGACGATGATGTGCTCTGAGCCTGTTGGAATGGCGTCGGTACGTACGAAGGTGTATTTTCTGAACAGAAAAAATTACTCTGAAATTTTCAGCAAAAAATCTATTCAGAGATCAATTATTGATTGGAAATACCGTATATCGGCTGTTTGCCAGAGGAGCTGCTCTGCTCGAAGGGATTCAGAGATACAGAATTGGACTGTGAGCGATTCTGTGGCAACTCTGACGCCTCCTTTATGGTACCGGCAGGTGCTGGAATGCCGGGCATTGGCTGATTGATTATGGAAGAAGAGAGTCCGATCTGAGGGGGAGCAGGAGTCGGAGTGAGCACGGAATAAGGCGACGGAACCGGAGCAGGTTGAGGTGGACCAGGTCCCATGGACGGTGATTTACTTGACGTTCCTGCAATGTGTTCCTCAGCGATGAGCTATTTCTTGAGTAAATTGCCCTTCACCTAAATTCAACCGTTGTAGATCAGCCACGGGGACAACTCCGGAGATTGTTGCCTGCTCATATGAAGGAACCGGGTCCAGCAATGCTCCTGAAATACGATAGTTAGCTTTAGTCACTCAGGCCGTGTTTATACTTCGCATCATCAGCGATTTGAAAACGACGCCCACGACTCCTCCTCCCCCACCTAACGCTCCCCTCACCATAACGCTAATCGTTGGACTGCAACAACTGTAGGTAGAAGTCCCTTAAGAATATGATTTAAAGACACATCCCCGTACACTCGATGTACAGCCGCATTCCCTGAAAAAAGGTGATCCAACCCGCAAGCACCCACCTTAGTGGCTCAAAAATTCCGGTAAGGACGCCACCCGCTGACGAAGAAGGCAGGGCCCTACCCAGTGCCCACCATTTCGGATCACGGGACGTACTTTTGATTATCAGCGGCAGCAGTCCAACCACTACCAATGGAGTGCATTCAAAATCGCTGGTTTATCGCAATAGGAACTCGGGCTTAGTTAACAGTTGAGAGCAAGACCTACCTTGAGGAGGAGTAAAAACGACTTCTTCGACAATCAAAGGGCCTTCGATGGCGACTTCCCTGATATCCGTCGGGCTAACAAGATGAATGAAATCCATCATATGAATGTTGTTGAAGTAAATCTGAAACATAGTCATAAGGGCGGAAACAGGGACCCTATTTTCGCCCTTTTCGAGAAGGGAAGCAGTACTCATGCACGGTGAGGTGGTTTCTGCCTCCACTCATATGGTTGAACGCGGGGACTGATAAAGACAGTCTCCGCGCTCAGCCAGTTCGTAGGCGCCCTTCCCTGTTCAAGTAATCTACTCCGCGGTCCTCAAGACTGCCCTACTTTCGCGGCTTCACAGTAAGCGACAAAGGCGCTGTAGCCCCTACAAATGGCAGGACGATTGCCTAGTTGACCCACCCACTAAAACTCAAGAGGCTATTTTCTGGTACAAATTCGCAGCGTTTTACAGCGTATATTTTTCACTGATCTGCACTACTTGATGGAATTAGCACTGGATAAGAAAGAGACTCTGGTAAGCCAGCGGCAGCAGGATATCATTTCGCTGGCAAAACGAACAGACTACCAGAACTCCAGAAAACTCGTACAGTGGCTACCAGGGGGTTCTTATGGTGTTCTATAGGATTTTTTGCTTTTTCTCTCTTAGAGAGTCACTTGGCGACTGTAGGTTCATTATTGAACGCCAATACAATTGCATGCCCCACAACATGCAATCGCAAAAGCTTGTCTTTAATCTTCACAAACTTTATCCCTCAGGTGCTACTTCGTTTTTTCCCAAGAGCTTAGCTGTATTCAAAGCTGGAAAATGGGAAAAGTCAAAGGATGCACACTGGTCACCCTTACTGACATTAAGTCAATCGCGCTGGGAAACTCGCCCAGCTGAAGAGGCCCTGTTTCGCGTTCTTCATGGTTTTGCGCTTTTTTTTACTGTGAAGTCATCGACCATCGACACTTTCATTTCTGAGCTCCACTGCCAACCGCCGACGGTTCCGAGGTGGGTCTTCGAGGTATTTAACGCTAAGCACATGTAAACATGAAGCTTTTCGTCGACGGCGTAACCGAAAGGGGCGACTCCAACACAAATTTCTTACTGTTTACTACTGAATTTCCTGCTCTTACGATTTTCCATTACCACATTTTTGTGGTATAACTCACAAAACACTAGTAATTCACTGGTAATCAGCTGGGATCCCTAGACAAGCTAGTTACATACAAAGATCAAGATCGTTTTGCCCATGTGATCACGCTGAGTCATTGCCACGACAGCAGCTATTCAGCAGTTATCAGTTGTGTGAAGATAAGACGAAAATGGCGAAAAAGTGCCGAGTGCGGCAAATTTGGCAATTTGGCAATTTTGGCTCAGACTGTACGTTTAGAGAGGCAAAAAATATAGGAGCTGGACCAGTTCTATGGTAGATGAAGCAAACTTCGGGCGCTATTCGACTATCACTACCGCAGGAACTCAAAATTTTTGTGCTGGAACTTTGCCTATTGAGATTGCTTCGCGTCCAGGTCACGGATGTCGTAACCGCTTTTGGCGAAACCAATTCTTTTTATTAAAATCGCTATAAACCTGCGTACTTGGGTCACTTGATGTCCCGTTATTCGAATATGACATTCATTCTTAGCGTCAGTCAGTTGAGGCCAAAATGGAAAAATTCCTGATAACTGACTTGAAATATCTCATGCATAGGGCGATATTGGACGAGTTTCAAGTGTTATGGACCAACCTGATATATGAGAAGAACAGGGAGTATAAAAGGAAATTTTGCAAAACCATGGTTTCTTATATTCGTTTGATATAACTAATAACCCAAGTTTGACATAAACAGAGACGCTTTTTTCAGAGACAGGGGCCATAAACTGCTTGGATGGGCCTTCAATAACTGGCCCTTGGGTGTTGAAGTTCTACCTCACCCGCCATATTCTCCAGACCTTTCACCAACCGACTATCACCTTTTCAAACATTTTCAGAACTTCCTTGCTGGAAAATACTTCATCAATCAGGACCAGGCAAAAAAGCCTTCGTGGATTTCGTGGATTCTCGACCACCCAGTTTTTTCTTTGATGGGATTTATCGACCTGTCACATTGGCAAAAGTGTGCTGATTCGAATGGTGCCTATTTCGATTAAATCCGATGAGTATTAAGAAAGTTACGATCGTTTAAAGTGAAACACTCAAAACGCTGAGAACTTTCCGGACAACCTAATATTTGATGGCTCAACACGTTGATGGGAAGGAGCGAAAATGCAGTATGCCCCCCCTCCTCCCCTGCCAAATTGTGCGAGATATTTAGTTTAGATGAATACCTCTATTGTGTTCGACGTAATGTGAAGTTTCAACGTGAACTTTGTTTCGACCGGCACCATAATCGGCTTTTCCATTTCACCCGTGAATTTCCCTGCGATTCGTGCAGAGGCTGTGATCTGGAAAAAGCACTGGATATATTGTCGGAAGGAGTTGAGGAAAGGAAGTTAGACTTCATTACCCTGCCACTTTTTGCAAGGGGCACTGTGACGAGAATAGCGATATCCGTAGCCGACGAAAGTTGCATAGTGAAGCTCCTGAAAATTACGGAATATGAGGCGGCTAGTTCCTGATTGATGAAGGTGTCGCCAGCGTTCAACTCTCTTACCTTCTACTCTCAGGGCACATTCTATCGTTCCTGCCCCAGGGGGGAGGAGTTCCCTGAAATAAGACCCCACGTTTCCTCTTCGGTACCCTGCTTCTTCCTTATCCTACCCTGTCGCCTCACTTGGCTTTTCCAACCCGCACCCACTTTTCTCGAACGCTGCCGCTGTGTAAGGAACGAGGCAACGTAAAAAACTTTCTTGCTTCCAAAAATAGGCTGAGGCCGGCTAAACAAGACATACCCACCCATGCCAGGCTTTGAAACAGTACCCGACTGTGCTACAAAATTATTACAATAGAAACACCAGAAATCGCACCAACTTCTCTCTGGCTTGGTATGCTTGGGCTGTTGTACAGGAAATGGAAGTACCGATGGCGCATCGACTGTGGGATATTCGCGCTCCGAAACGGCATGTCTTGAAATTATGATGGAATTATTTTGATAAGTTAATTGCGTAGCTTCGTAATTATTCTTGAGCTTAATCTCTCAGACCTTCCTCTGGTTCACGACCGTCCACACAGTTTCTCTCCCAGGGAAAAAATGGTTTCCTCCGCAGAGTTCGCCAAGAACTCGCAGAATTATTCGCGGCCCTTCTTGCCGGTCCTAGGAGCGCGCAGAAGAAACAAACCGCATTTTCGTCGGGCTAATAAACGTGGCTGGGAAGGGGAAGGGTAATAAAAGGGGTCAAAATGAAACTATCGCACTTGCCCAAGCCTGAAGGGGAAACGAGCTTCTGAACCAGTTCCATGAACCATTTTTTCTATTCGGACGATGACGTTAATCTCAGTAACCCACCAGTAGTTCAAATACTCCTTCAAAAATTGTCAGCGTTTCGGATCGCTTAACGACTGAAAGGTCCTCCCCGTAAGATCTTCTTGGAATCGTCGCGTTAAGTGAGCTTCAGAAACCCTCTTTTGAACGTCTAAGTAACCAAAAGGATAAAATGATGAAGTTTTCGCCGTTGTTTCCCTTTCGGGGATTCTACTTCCAGTTGAAGCTGCAGTGGTTTAGGCTGCGTTCATACTTTATGGCAGTGTCCACCAGAGTCCACCTGCGTCCACCAGCGACCATCAGCGCTTTGAGCGTCCCTCATCATCAGCGACTAGGAAAGTATAGATATCGATCAAGCGAACGATGGCGTCTGCAAACGTTTGCCAGCGTACACCAGCGTCCATCAGCGTCTCAAGGGACTAGGGAAGAATGGGTATCGATCTAGCGTTTACCAGCGTCTACCAGCATTTACCAGCGTCCACCAGTGCCCAGGAGTACGGTAGTTGTATTAGTACAATACGTTGCACACGCCACAATTTCTCGATGCCTAATCCAGCTGTCTCCTCTCTCCTACTTTCCCATACTCTACCAGCAGTCTGCTACCCTCCTACTTCCCCATACTCTCTGCTCCTGGTCGTTGATGGACGCTGGTAGACGCTAGATCGATATCCGTGCTTTCTTAGTCCCTCAAAACGCTGATGGTCGGTGGCGGACGCTGGTAGACGCTGCTGTTCGCTCGATCGATATCTACTTTCCTAGTCGCTGACGTTGACGAAGACTCGAAACGCTGATGGTCTCTGGTTGATGCCACTATGAAGTATAAACGCGGCCTTACTGGATGTGATATGGTCTACAATGACCTACGGGGCTAGCCAATGTACAATTCGGAGTTCGTATCCAATGGATTTTACATTTCTTTCCTCGCCGGGTGTTAGAGAATTGGCCTTGTCGGGCAGCTGATACGCGAATTTGACGCTCGACGTAGTGTAAGTGTCCACTTGCATCTACACCATCTCATCCTCCTAAGTGACCTAAAATAGTAAAAGTGATAAGACGACTGGCTTTCCGAATGTTTAGCAAACAATCGGTTGCGGATGTTTGTCGTGCGGAAGCGCGCTGGGAACGCGTACAATGTGTAGAGTAAGCTTCAAACCTGTGAACAAAGTAGCTAAGACTTAGTAGGGTAATTCCAGGAAAATCGACTAATGAAAGGATGATCCACTTATCACGTGGCCTGTTGGAGACGTGCATTGCTATCGGTTTTCTCCTGCAATGATCGGAATTTCTTACATCAGGACTGCCCTAATGCCGTCGTAATAGGAGCCAATGCCTAAGTACCAGAACCAGATCTAGCTACCAATATATCTTGCCCGATCTTTGACCTGGTCTGGATAAACATTGGCAGCGACAGCAAGGGTCTCGTAGCCGGTAGTAATCTGTGAACCCTATAAACGAAAAGAAAAGAGGGAAATTTGTGATACCTCCTCGAGGGCCGTTTATTCAGATCATGAAAAAAAGAATTATAAATTTACCGGTAGGGGAAAGCGTTGAGGAGCTGCCGCCATATCTAAGAAACGAAGCTGACAGAAATGACTGTCTGATAAGCAACGCTCGTGAATTCACGGTGAATCACGAACTGAGCATACAGCTATTGATCGTAATACAAATCACGGGATTCAATCGATATCGACAGGGACTTTGTGAGAACTGGATACAGCATGCAGAAAGGGGTGCGACGTGTGACGATTGAGTGGAAAGCAGCTATGGTGGCGGTAATCAAACA